CTGCACTGCGCTACAAAAAGGATCCTTGTCCACCAGATGCTTTATTGTGCGCTTGTCACGATCGGATAGTACAGGTGGCCGACCAGATCTCTTGTTGTTTTTGATGCGCCCTTCATATTTGAATCTACCAATGACAGTCTGTATAGTAGACTTGCTTCTGGACATGATTTCTGCTATCTCTGCATACGACTTTTGCTCCTTTGTGTGGAGATGCAAAATCTTTCCACGATCTTCAAGCGATAACTCTTTTCGTGGCATTTTTACTGCAAAACTCAAATATTTTGTCCAGCTCAAGTAAAACACGCCAACTATTAAGAATTTACTCATTATTGCATACATATTTCGAAAACCCCCGTTATTTCTAAGAAGAACGCTGGCGCCAGACAGTGCAAGAAAATAAGAGTACGTAGACTTTTGTTGACGCAAATATTTGGGTATGTTTACATTCGCTGTAATATTATGGAACTAAAATTAAAAGTAAATGTTTTTCTTTTATAATTTAGAAGAAAATATATTAGTTTATAATCCTGAATTAAATTTTTTTAATTTAACAAAAATTTGGCCAAGTTTCAGGGTCATTTGCGCAAATACAACAAGAGTACGGTGACTTTAGTGGCACACTGTATATATATAATTGTTTTACACATCTTAGAGTTTTTGGGTTTTGTTTTTCGTTATAATACTAGAAAATTTGCGTGTGGAGTGAGCCTTGTTTATAAGAAATTAGAATCTGATATTTGATTTATTTGTTTTTATTTTGTTTTTCAAAAAAGCGTCTGCACAAAAGCCAGATGAAAGTTCTATTCAAAAATCTCAAGGCTTATTGCTACTTTGGCCACACACACAGTCCGTACACTCAGAGAAAAAACGACTGCACTTGTGATAGTTTTTGTTGCAATTATTATAAATTGATGAAATGAATAATAAGTTAATTTAAGTGAAGAAAAGTAGAGATATCTTAATTTCATAATTTTATATACTTAAATTAGGCATTAAAAAATACTAAATGGAAGAAGAAAACATCTTAAAGTATTTCTTTTTTAATAAATAATTAATTCATGTCGAATCCCCTATATAAAAAATTCTCGTAAAAAGAGTAGTGCAAACTTAAATCTGCTCTTCCTTCGTCTTAATTTATTTGGTATTTTTTCTCTGAGTGTAAAGTCTGGCATATTATTGTTTTACAACCAGCTCCATTTGACTTCAAAGTTTAAAGAGTGCAGCTTATCTATCATCTGGTTTGTGCATATATCGTATATATATTTATTCCGAAATATGTTTTCATTTTGTTTTTCATTCTTTTATTGTGGATTATAGCGTTTCTCTATAAGTTACACTTAAATTGTCTAATCGCTGTGTTCTTTGTGGGCTTTACGAACCGAAATGAACTATTTACACTTTGAGAAAAATTTCGTTAACATATATTACTATAGTTTAAATAGAACTGTCAAATATGAGCTTAAGATTTTTGCTTTTTTGTTTTTATTTTAAATTTATTTTTATTGCATGATTTTTGTATTTTGAATAATTTTTGGGATTTTTCTTTCACTTTGTGTATTTTTGTAGCTTATCGACGAAGACCAAAAATTGCTGTCCATTTTTGCTTTTTTTTCCTGGCTGCTGTATTTATTAATAATCACACAAAAAATATAGAGATATATATTTTGCATGGTATATTTGTTCTTTTTATTTGTTTTTCTTTTAAAGTATTGCGCTCTTTACTCAATGTAGATGTCCTCGATGGGATAAGCTGTTTCAATAAACTTCTGATAGAAACGCTGAAAGGCGCGACTGCAAGAGAGAGGAGAGGATTTTAAATATGAGATGAATTGATGAAGTTATCATTGGGTGGGTGGATGCTTACCCAACAGCCTCGGCCACTGGCCTTGTGGACTCGGAGCCCTTGAAGACGTGACAGGCGAATCGCTGCACTGTCGGATGCTTTGTGATGAACCCAATGAAGCGATGATCGCGCGGATGAAATGCGCAGAAAGAGACATTCTTAAGCGAGTAGAAGTAATCGATGCAGGGTTTCTTCTCTTTTTTGTTCTGTTGAGGAGTTGTAAAACAGGGAAATTGTGTGATATTTATAGAAAAAAGAATATAGAATATTATATAATATAATATAACTAGAGCATTCGGGTAACCAAAAATGAGAACATATAGAGCACATTTTTGTCATTAGAAAGTTAAGAATGTAGATTATTTATACGAAAATTCTTCACTTATTGAGAATTATTAGAGATGGGTTATACACGTAAGGACGTTTTTTTTTTTTTATAAAATATAGATTTCTGTCAGATACTCCCAAATCAAGATCATAAAATCCCTTTCCTTCGTCTATTATTCCACACATTCTCTTCACCCCAGCTTTCAGCTCGCACTTACATTTGGCGCCGAGCGATCGACCATGCGCAGACCCTGATCGGATACCTCCAGTATGCAAGTTTGTCCCGTCGGCGAGTTGCCGTACTCGCCCACAATTTTGCGCACCGCCTGGCAAACGACGCCGGTGCCCTTGTGTGCCAACGTCTCCACGGAGCCCAGATAGCCGAGTAGGTAGCGCTCCTTCTTCACCAGCTGCACCGTCGGATCGAACTCGTTGTAATCGAGATCCACGGCATACGCCGAGGGGAAGATGCCCTGTCGACCTGTGCGCAAATTCACGCCCTCGCACCACAAGTCCTCGGCCTCCTTCTGCACGTAGATGGCGTCGCCGATCTCCAGCTCGATCTCGTCGTGATGTCGCGGCACAAACTTGTGCAAGCCACGATGCGTGGCCTCCAGCATCTCCAGCTGACCAAAGGGTACGCCGCCCAGGGTTGGAGGAAACGGGGATTGCGAGACCGGGGATGTGATCTGTGGCGACATGCTCTTGAAGTCGTTGGGCGAATGGGCGGTGCTGTGACCGCTGTCCACATCGCCCAAGCTCTGCAAACGCTCCGAGTCCGGGCTGGAGTCCTCGTCCAGCAGATAGCCACACTTGAGCGATAGAAACGAGCGCTGAACTCCACTACCAACTCCTGCTCCTGCTCCTGCTCCGATTCCATTGCCAGCCGCCTCGCCCATGCGAAACTCCTCGGCCAGATTGCAGGCAGTCGAACCACCTAGAATATGCAGAATGGAAGCTGCAACGAGGCCATGAGTAGATTAGCTTCAACTACGCGGGACAGAGATTCATCTCTCTAACTAAGGCATGCATGGATCGCTAATTACTTTACTCGGCGTATTTCGAATAAATATAATAAACGAGAATGCATAACTCACATTTCTTATTCTTTGGTATCTCGGGCAGCTTGCGGCGACGTCGTGTGGCAGCCGCATTAGGCGTCAGCAGCTCCGTGATGGGGCCCACGTTTGTCACAGTCGGAGCTGGGGTCATGCCATTGATGCCAATGAAGCCGCCGATGGCATCCTGATGATTCAGCGGATGATGGCGATGCGAGTTGAACGAATCGTTTGTGTCGAGCGAACCGTCAGAGGACAACGTGACCTTCAAGCCATCGCCCAGCTCATCATCCTCCACCTGGCGCTGCAGCTTGCCATCGGCCATGGCATCCTCCTGGTCGGAGCCGTCGCTTTTCGACGAATGCGAATCTTCCAGATCATCGTTGGGTATTAGACTGGTTAGTAAGGGAAATTTAATCAAGTGTTAGATTAGTAAGGCATTATGAAATATAAGGGAGAATGATTTAAAGATTAGTGAAAATATACTGCAAGTGAATGGTTGATTGATTGATTGATTGATTGGTCGATGGATTGATATCAGAATACATAAATTACTTTCATTCTTGTAGAACGATTGAGTAATGAGCTGATTGACTGATGTTTCTATATATATATTATATAGCAAGCTGATTGATTAATTGTGTTATTGGCTGACTGATTTACTCAATATTTGATATATTGATATATGATTGATTGGCAGTCTACTTGACTTTTGCTCGACTGATTCGCCATTTGACTATGGGACTTACTTTCAAGGATCTATGCATTTCGCATGTAGCAATTAGGGATACAAATTGTGCCCAAGGTAAAGCCGGACAGCTGTTAGTGCCCTATATACCCCATATATATACCACACACTGAATCGCCAGTCTAAAATGCGCTGCATTGGAATCTTGTGAGGCGCAGCAGCTAAATCCCAGCATCCTTGAGCTCAGCTGTTGCCCGACGCACTGTCTGCCCTGTCTGTCCAGGGCTAATCAGCACCGAGTCTGGCCCCCCCACCGAGTAGAGTTATTTGGAACACGTGTTTGCCCACTCAGTCGATTGATTTTTCAAGTGTGTGTGTGTGCGTGTGTGTGATTTTTTTCAACCATTTACTTACGAGTAAAATGCATGTGTGGTGTTCTTTTTGCCAAATGGGGCGCTGATTGCATGTGGCTCAAAGATGGGCCTATGGAATTCCTCGAATTCGCTGTCGGCCATGGCTCTGTTAAGTGGGCGCAGCTGCCACGCCTACCAGCTAGAGGCTAACTAACTTTGGCTTTACTTTTCACTAGATCTGTATATTTATCGATTGCAATTGTCTTCAAGATTTGCAGCTATGCAACATATCCGCTGGCAGCCGAAACACTTTTTCACTTCACAAACTTAAAATAATCAATAATTTCCTTGACGTCGCGTATTTCTTCTCGTACTTCAGCGCAGTTTGACGTCCACTTCGCAGCTAAAGTCTTCCCTGGGACATTTCAGTGCGTAGCCTCAGCTGTCAGGAGCATGCTCCATTGCGCTCATAATTTCCCATGCGCATTCGCTCTCTCTCTAGCTCTCTCTCTCTCTCTCTCTCTCTCTCGCATGCTCTTTTACTATAAGCGTAACTTGTTTTTGTTTACAAGCAGTCAAGCCATTCTGGAGCTGCCTTTTGGGGGTTGCGAAAGCACGCGCATGCGCATATCGTTTCGATTCCCATGTGCATTGGGGGTGGGTGCTGTGAAATTGCAATGCTGCTGCTGCTGCTGCTGCTTGCCACCAGCGGATGTCGCACGTCCGAAGCCCTAGTTCATTTGAACTGTGGCGCGAGCGGAAGCGATATTCGATGGGCCAAACAGGAAGAGAACTTCGAAAAGTTACAGTTTGCGAATATGCATGTAAAATTGAAAGTCATAAATGCGATAATCTTTAAATTTCTAATAGCAGTATATGTAAATTTGTAAAAAAATTACTTTTTAAAATAATAATAATTAACTAACTTAATATAACTATAAATAAATAATAAATCGAAAGATAGGAATCTTTTATATAGGAATATTCCTTAGATATGAATCTCTTATAAACTGACATTCACACAAACATTTCAATTTCATAATTATTTTGGCTATAAATTGGCTTAATAATTGATATAGGTAATTGTCTAACTTGAAATCTCTTTAAGCTAAATGCAGCGTAAGTCTCGAAATTGATATATATTTTATATTTATATTTAGGGTATATTTTATATTTATATTTATATATTTTTTTATACTTATATATTTTTTTATATTCATATATGTATATTTTTATATTTATATATTTTATATATTTATTTTTTGTATATTTTATTTTTTATATTTTTTTACCTTCCTTCCATTCAGTTAATCATGCAGAGCAATAACTAATGAAAACTCTTTTGGACTTAGGCATTAAATAATTCAAGACTCAGCAAGCATTAGCAACTAGTGATAATTAGATAAGCAGCGAATGTAAACGAAGTGTGAGAAAATGAAAACGAAATCGATATGAATTGATTATGGATCTAATGAGATCTAATGAAGATTGAATAAAGGGTGCACAAGTCAATGCTTATACACTTAAAGAAATAACTACGTCAAATGAAAATCCACAATTGTTATGATACAAGTATTTCCAATTTGTAAGAGCTTAAATTTATATTTAAAAGAAATATAAAAATTGTCTTTCATATATATAAATATGTATAGAATATAGGTATATATTCATTACTGCATATACAGATTCACAAAGTCAATGTCTATTCATTCACAGTTGCCTAGCCAAGCGAGGCCAGGCCCAGCAAGGAAGGCCTTAACTTAATTAGACGCAAATCAACAGAAATCAACACACAGAAATCAGAAGCGCCATTCATCGGTTCATTCATTCACTTAGTCATTCATTCATTTAGCAGCTGAGATATGGTCCCAAGGGGTGGCTGGATCTTTAAAAGGGTCTTTAAGACGCTTCGCCTGCTATAAATCCATCAACTGTTTGCAGCACAGCAGCAGGAGCAGGAGCAGAAGCAGCAGCAGCAGGAGCAGCAATAGCAACAGCCGCAATCACTTTGAATGTCCGTTTCAAGTGTGGTTAAGCGTTTTGTGGAGTGGGAGCCACTGGCAGAGGTGGAGACAGAAGTTGAGTCCGTGTAGTAGCCATTACGTTTATCACATCAGTTCATTTCGGCCCACACATTGTGTGCGAGTGTGTGTGCGAGTGTGTGTGCGGGTGTGTGTGTGTGCGGGTGTGTGTGTGTGTGTGTGTCTGCTACACCCGCATATTTTAATAGCCAAGTAGCTCCTGCTCAAGCAGCAACTGCTAGCTGCAGCTCCACAGCACGTTGTTTGCTTTTCCCTAAGCGCAAACAATGGGCCCCCAAAGTGTAGCAAACGACGAACCGCAAAAGAAATTGCCATTTATCTATTATTGACTCTGGCACTGGGGCACAGCTCAACTCCTTTCCTCTTACTGTCTCTCTCTCGCTCTCTCTCTCCCACTCTTTCTCCCCTCTCTGCTCTGTCTCGCTTTTACAGTGCGCCGCGGTGGCCGCACATTGTCAAAGCAAGCGCATCAAGTGGTTGCCTCGTCATGCCGCATGCCACATACCGTGAACTGGCCAGAAATTCTTAACAGCGCTTGGCTAATTCTAGATTTTGTATAACATATATTCTATGTTCAAGTTAAATATATAAAGCATATAAATTTATATATATTATAGCCTAAAAATAGCTTAGACTTGGGTTTTCAGGGAGATATATATATATACATAACATAAAAATATGAAAAAAAAAAATTTTAAAAATTTAAAATAAATTTTTATCATATAGGATTTGCACACATTTTTTTAATTTTATTTTTATTTTATTCTTTTATTTGTATTTGTATTTTTATTTATATTACTATTGTTTTTTTTTTTATATTTAAATTTTATATTTTTTTATTTATATATATTTTTTTATATTTTTGCTTAACAAGTTTTATTATCTATTTATTTATTTTTGTGTATATATATATATATATTTTTATTATTTTTAATCAACCAGCTATCATCTACCTTAGCTACATCAATCTATATCAGTTCACCTTTTAGTTCTCCCTATTCGCAACCTCTTCAAACCTAGCTCAATTTCTATTCTCGATCATTAAAAAGTGTTTCCCCATTCTTTTCCAATTAGTATTAGTTCCATCGTTCTTATTAGTTAATGTCAAGCCAAGCACATTTATGCATCCCTGTGTCGGTCCTTAATGATTGCTGCTCCTCTATTTAAAAGCTCTAAATACTCCGTAAATTCACTCCGTAAATTCACTTTCCAATTTACGGTATTTCATGCCCGCATAATTTAAGCAAACGCATTTGAAAGTCAAGCGTTGACAGCAGCGAAAGAATATAAAATGGGGAAGAAAAGTAAAATTAAATAAAAAATAAAAGTTCAACTCGAGCTCAAACTTGTTGCTGCCGTTGTTGATTAGAAAGTGAAATGACGTCATGCGTTATAGAGCTAGCCTGATTTCAGTGTGATTTGGCCAATCAAAACGAGCTACACCCACACACGAGCATACAAAAGAGGTGGAGTCTGTGAGGCAGAAAGAAACAAACAGACAAAAAAAAACAAACAAAAAAAAAAAAACTCACTTGTAGCTTTTATATCCTTGAACAAATTTATCTCGCTACGCACACTTGATAAATACAATTGAATATGTATGTAGCTAGCTATCCATCTACTCATGTGTGTGTGTGTGTGTGTGTGTGTGTGTGCTCTGTCTCTGTCTCTGTCTGCTGGCTATAAAAGGCGCTGGCCGTGCGACAGGATCTCGCAGTTGCCGTTACGTTCCGATTGCGCATACGACGCGTGTGCTAAGACTTTGTGAATTTGTAAAGAAGTGCATTAAAACTGAATTGGATTACCTTTGATTATATAAGCAGATATATATTGAAAACTATATAGTTATATCGATTATGAGTGCATCGGGCAAGAGTCTTTTGGGCCTGTGGCTATATCGCAGCGGTGAGCAGGAGTGGGCCGTCAAGCAGGGCAGTCCGCTCCACACTCCACTCAAAAAGGACTCCAACTCATCCCCCTCCCCGTCGCCGTCGCCGTCCTCCACCTCGTCCTCGACTCATGCCACTCTCTCGCGGCACGCCTCGGCACCAGGTGACAATTTCCTCTTGTTCTCCAACAACAAGCAGGCTGGCGCCACGGATGCAGTGCAGCGGCCGCATGTGCCCGGCGAGCGCATTTCCATTTTGTTCACTCTCAAGAATCAGGTGGGCAATCTGGCACGCGCTCTGCAGGTCTTCCAGGAGCTGGGCATCAATGTGCTGCACCTGGAGCTGTCGCCTCTGGAGGTGAGCAGCAATCAGGCGGATGTCCTGGTGGATGTCGAGTGTGATCCACGTCGCTTGGATCAGGTGGTGAAGATGCTCAATCGCGAGGTGGCATCGGTCAACTATACGTCGGTGAATGCTCACAGCTTGGCCCGAGCACCGTCTCTGTCCGCCTGCTCCAGCTTTGGTGAGTAGCAAATGGAAGTGATTGAGGGGAGATTATCGGACAGTGATTAAGCAGAGATTATTGAGCGAGGATTACTTTTCATAGAGAAGTAAGTTTTGCTGAGAGTCATACAAACTAGCTGGAGGCTCTTCACTTCGCCAAAGTAACAGACTATTTTCTATATGGGCGTGGCATTGAAATTGTCATGCAAATTAAGTGAAAGCTAAAGAATAAATTTAGTGCAATTTGAATAACAAAAAACTATTTCAATTGAACTGCAACTAAAGGAATTTTATGTCTAAGTAATATACTATAAGCTGCAGCAGTGCCTCTAAAACTATACCAGAGACCCCAATCAGAAATCACTTGACAACTGATGCAGCTTAGACTCTGACCTACCTCTATCATCTATGTTGCCATATTGATAAGCTAATTCTATATAATCTATCAAGTCTGCATCAAGCTACCAAAATTATGAACTTGAAAACGAAAATATGAAATCATAGATGTTTCACTGACTGAGACTCCAAAACTGTTCTTTATTTATTTATTCATTTATTATTTCATATTATTGATTTTGTATATTATTATTATTATTTTATATTTTCTGCTTTTTAGACAACAGTGTTTCAGTCATTAAGTTAACTGATAAACGAGAATTTGTTATAAAAATGTTAGAATATCTCAGCCGTAGCAGATTTTATTTAGTAAATATTATAATCAAAGTTTTAGCTTACAGTTAATAGAGTTCATATTATTATCATAAATTCTCTGCCACAGACTTTGGTGACATGGTTTGGTTTCCGCGCAAGATCTCCGACCTGGATCAGGCGCAGAATGTGCTCATGTATGGCTCCGAGCTGGATGCTGATCATCCCGGCTTCAAGGATCCTATCTACCGCAAGCGGCGCGAACAGTTCTCGGCCATAGCCAACAATTTCAAGCAGTAAGTCTGCTCTCTAATCAATTTTACAC